CTTACAAAAAGAAAACAAAATGCAAAGGAACCGAAGCAGTGGTGGCAAACCTATGGTATGCGTGCAGTGGCCACCTGTTTATTGCTACTGAAAGCTCTAAAATGTTTATCATCACTGAGTGAGAATACCCATAATAATTTTAAAGAGGAGAAAAATTGGAGAGTGTACCTTTCTTGATTTTAAAACTTCCTATAAAATTACAGCAATCAATAGAGTATGGAACATTTGCCTGCTTTGGTTTATCATAGAATCCTGCACACCCAGCACAGTACCTATCTACAGATGTTCATCTTTGTTTTGTGAATAAATGCATGGGAAAATGTGGGGTTGGAATGGCTCAGTCTTGGAAGGAATATTTCATTTTGGATGATCCCTGATTTTAACACTTTCAATTCTGGGAAAATGATATTGAACCTCTTCTCAAGACAGTAAGTCATCACAAAAAAGTTTTCCTGTTATTCATATGCTACAATCACATCTAAGATTATCAATCCAGAACATTTTAGGTTTTCACTTGCTATACACTTAAGCTCTATGAATTCTCTGTTTTTAAAGAACTTACTCCTTTTTGATTAAAAAAGTAAAACATCTTCATTTGGGGGTGCTATCAGAGGTAAAATACGTGCTTAGCATGCATGAGCCCTGAGTTCAATCCCTAGAATCAATTATTTTAAAATGTTTTCTGCAGAGTTTTCTAGAAAATGATGAAAAATTAATTAAAAAAACAAAATTCCCTAAAATTCCATTTCCCAGCTGCCACCAAGCTCTTTACTCTTCTTTTATAGTCCATGATTCTGGCACAAGCAGCATAAAAGGGCATGAAGACAAGAGGCTGACTCAAAAAGGACTCAGCTGAGCTTCACCAGGGATGAAGAATTAGAAAAATCTCCATTTTCTCTTAAACTCTTATCTTCAGATATTTTCTTGGGCTCTTGAAGAATGAGATTGTTTTTCTATATTCTCTGTCCTTATGGGTTGTAGGCAACATTCCTTTCAGGAAAATGAGTTGAAAAAAGGCACAGAATTAAGCAGAATGTAACTTTCTGAATATTGTCTCTTCTGTCCTCTTACTGATTTCATGTTTTTCAAAAATGCAAGTTTAGAATAGCTTTTCAAAACTATTTGCACACCCACATGTAAAAAAATGAATGTTCAAATCGATGTTCTTTGAGAGAATGCAGGTTTGCAAGTGGGATGTCTGTCTTGCTGAATTTTTATTGGTCATATCAGCTTGAGATCCTCTGGCTACTTTAATAGGACGCATTTTAACTGCTCCAAAGTGTGCTAACAAAGGACACCTTCAGGAGTTCTTGTCATTTGCCAAAAATTTCTTACTGGAAGATCTGACTCATCTGTCTAGTGAGACAGAGATGAAAGCCCAGTTATAGCTGTGTGAAAGGCTGCCAGATGTCCCAGAGCAGTTAGAGATGCAGCTATCTTCAGAATGGAAAAATACTAGAAGATGCTGCTAAGGCACCCAAAGTCTAGCTGATAACACACATTCCCTAAGAGCTTGTTTAAAGACCTCCCAAACACTGTCAACCCTGTCCAGGAAAGTGCCACTTACATTTATCTACCTCAAGCACATGGATCTTTGAAGCCAACTCTTATTCCTTGTGCATCCAAATCTCAATAGAACGGAACACAGAACATAGCACTCTTTGACTCGTTTATCCCTTCAACAGCCATTGGAGCCCAATAGGTATAATGTGTTGAGTCTCCAACAGGCCATGTTTCAAAGCTAAACTTGTCACCGTTCCTCCCCCAACTCCTGACTCCAGCTCAGGACTTCATCCTTGCTTAACCAAACCCATTTCCCTAATGCACAAGATGAGAAACAACTGCTTGTGCGAGCTGGGGAAAGAGAATCCCATTCATTTTAAGGGCCTATTTTTAATGTCTTCCACTGTTCACAGAAAGACGTAGAGTCAGGACAGAGTGGAATGCATATTCTTTCAGGTAATAATGCAAGGTGACAAATGCTGTAGGCAGATCAAGGAAGCACATGGTGGGAGATTTGGACACTGGCTGGAGGAAGGTATGGAAGCTTGTCAGCACAGGGCCTGATAATACACAGGCAAACAATATGTAACTAATGAGTGAAAGGAAGTGACTTCTGGACATCAACTGAATGTTAAGTGTGCCTACAAGGGGTACAAGGAGAGCTTTTAGATGAGGCAGAGCCTCATTTTTGGCAATTCCCAGAAGTGTGCACAGAATAACAAAAACTTGAGTTGTGCCTCTGCACTAGGGTGTCAATATGGCATGGGAATCTCGCATATTTAGCAAACAACAGTTACCCAGAAAATCCAAGGGTTGGAGATAAAAATTTAATGTCTGTACTTTTTAGTGCAATGTTGGCAGTTCCATGACTGACAACTCCTACAGAAGCAAAATGGATTAAGGAAATATCACAGTGGTTCAGGTGAAATACAAAAGTAATAATATAAAGTAGACAATGAGTGGACCCAAAAATAAAACTTGGGGTCTGGTTTAACAAATAGCACATTTCATTCACCTTACAAGAAAGAAACTTTCCCCTCACCCTGCAGCTTTTGCCTGGTGTCCTCATAACTCATTTGACAGCTAGGTTTCTGTAAAATTTCTCCTGTCTTCCCTTATCCAGCCAAGGTGCAGAATGATTTCTTAAATCCTAAATCCATCAGGCACTTTCCAATTTTTTAAACTGAACTGAACATATTTATGGGACACAGTGTGATATTTCAACACATGTGTAGAATGTGTAATGATCCTACTAAAGTAACAGGCATATGAACGTCACTGCAGACAATTACCACTTGTTCCTGTTGTGCACATTCAAAATCCTCATGCACAGGGGATATAGCTCAGTGGCAGAAGGCCTGGAGAGCACATGCAAGGGTTCAATTCCCTACATCCTTTTTCCTTGCTATTTTGCGCTTGTCAACCCTAATTATCCTGATGAGGCACTTTCCAATTCTTATCTTGCTGGATTTCTAACTTTCAGCACTGAACAGGGCTGAGAATTTCTCTATAGCTATCCCAATCTTGTTCCTTAAACTCCCACACCCTGGCCTTTTCCCCATCTATTGCAGCTTGGCCAGAAAGTGCTGTGCATGAAGGAGTCCCAGATCTGTCTCCTCTCAGACTTCAAAACCCAATCCTGTCTCCTAGACAGCCTTTTTTGTCCGAGGGACGGCTCAAACGTTTCAATCCCCAAACGGAAATCATCCAGCTGTGGGACCTTGGACACACTTGTTAACTGAATTAGTTAACTGTAAAACTAGGGCATTATTGACAGCCGCCTTACACAGAAGCCGGCTATGGAGACAGTAAAGGATTGCATGCCAGGTAGGCACTGGTATGCCCTAACAGATCTGAAGCATTAATCGTTTTTTCCCCCCTCATAACTTCTTGCCCATTTATCCTGTTGACTACTTTTTTTTTTTGGTCTTTTTCCTTTTTATCGGTACCGGGGATTGAACTCACGACTGCCTGCTTACAAGGCAGGCGCCTCAGCCGCTGAGCTAAATCCCCAGCCCCCATCCTGTTTACTCTTAAACCAACCCATTCATCATGCTAGAACTTGGAGCACCTGTGACGCCTTCCTCTCTCCGCCTCAGGCATAATGTGCCTGCCCTTTCATTCTGCCTCCTGAGTATCTTTGCCCTGCTCTCCCTCCTATCAGCTTCAGTCCCTCATCCCCAGGGACTACAGCTAAGCTCTCCCTGACCCTTAGTACACCACACCATTCTCCAGAGGCAGCACGTTGTAGCACCAGCGGGTCCCCCATGGGGAGGTGGTCTGCAATCCTCATCAGGCTCCTTAGGCCCAGAGGGTCTTCCTCTCCATACCGCTCTTCCTTTCAGCCAGGATGCCACTTCCTCTATGAAGTCCTACTGGACTTCTAGTCGGAGGCATATGGTATGTGCTCTCCAGGGCCTGACCCCTTACACATGCTTTCACAATTATCTCTTCTCCTGCCTGTCCTCTCCGCTGCAGGCAAAAATACGGGAGGAAAAAAAAAAAATCTATTTTTTCATTCAGGTACGCAACAACCCACACAAGGCCTGGAGACAGCAGGTACTCAAGAAAATGAGTCAGGGCAGTGCTTCCGCCCGTCAAGAAAACCACTCGGTTCGGGGAACCAACGCCAGGGTTTCGGGCCTCCACTCCTCCCAGGGCTCACGGCTGCACAGAGGTTCCTTTAGGTCCGCTCGTCCTCCTCGGTGTTTCAGCTCGCGCGGAATTAACCCGGAGAGCAGACAAGGAGCCGCATCGGAGGAGCGCACGGGAGACTGCAGAAGCTCGCGCTGCGGGCAAGGGCTAAATCCTGCGCCCTTTGTTCGGGCAGAGGGGAGCGAGCCGCTCCGAGTCCGCCGTCTCAGCCGGGAGCACGGTCGGGCGCGCACAATGGCAACAGAAACACACCGCAGAGCTCCGAGTCGGGCGGGGGCGCGCGCCACGCCTCTTCTGAGCCAGCCTCGCGGCCCTAGGACGCCGCGCTCTCCAGCGCGCCTCGCCGTCCCAGCCAGGGTGCCCAGAAACCTCCTCGACCAGTGGCCGCCGCCCGCCGTCAACGGCGGGAAAGTGCCCGGCGTCTCGGCGTCACGCGCCCGCGAAACAACGCGAGGGGCGGGGAGAAGGCGGGGCCTGCTGGTGGGGCGGGGCCACACCGGGCACCGGAAGCGCTAGGAGGCCTGAGCCGTCCCAGGGTGCCCCGCGCGGCGTGGACTCGGGCCGCTGCCGCCATCCTGCTGGCGAGAGTGAGCGAGAGGCCCGCCCGCTCGCCGGCCGGGCCAGTGTGGGCGAGTGCGTGAGGGCGCGGGGACTGTGTCAGCGAGACGCAGAGCGCAGCCACCACCTCCAAACGGACATGTTGGAACGCAGCGACACCGCCGCCGCCTGCTTTTCCTCGCCCAGCGAACGGGACTGAAAAGGAGCCCGCCACCCCTTCGCCTCTGCCTCTTCTCGGCCGCCTGCCTCGCCGTCTCGGCCTCAGCCCCTTCCTGCCCGGCCTCGGGCTCCGCCGCTTGTCGCCTTCCCCGCCTCAGGCCCGGCTGGTTCCCTGCCTGCTCCGCCGCGGCGCGAGGTCTATGTGACCGGCGGGCCGGGAGCAGCCGCTGCCGCCGCCGCCGCAGCGCGAACATGGACGCCGTCAACGCCTTCAACCAGGAGGTGAGGGCTGCTCGGGGCTGGGGCGCGGGTCTGCTGCGGGAGCCGGGACCCGCTTCTCCCGCCGCCGAGGTTTGAAGCTTCGGTCGGGGTGGGGACGCTTCCTGCCGGGGTTCCGGAGCGGCAGGGCCTGCGCGGAGCGGCCTTGTGGCCCGGGAGAGGTCGCGGCCACCGGGAGACCTGACCCCACACCCCTCCCCCACCGCCCACCCGGCCGGCGACCCGGAGTGGCCCTCTGGCCCCCTTCCGGCCTCCTCCAGCCCGCGTCCGCTCCAGTGCCTCGAACTCCGTCCCGTTTCGTGCCAGGGCGCTCTACTCTCTGTTCCCCGGCCCCGTTATCGGCTCCGCGGTGCCGGGAGCCCGCACCGGGCTGCGAAGGAAGCGCGGGCGGGCGCGTGGGGTGGGGGGCGGGGAGCGGGAGCGGCTGCGGGTCGCCGGGCCGGTGGAGCAGCGGCCTCGGGGCTCCGGTTGCTCAGGCCATGGCGTGTCCGCAGCTGGACTCTGATCCCGGGTCGGGAGGAGTTGGAAAGGGTGTTTATCCCCCTACAGGGTTCACCCACTTGGGAAAGAGGATTCACGAACGAAGAGGGGTGGCTCCGTATCATTTCGAGTCGTGAACCTAACTCTCTTACAGGATCTAGGGCCCTGGTGTGACACCTAAAAAGTTGAATGGGAGAGAAGAGTATTTGCTCCGCCTTACTTAGTCTGCTAGGAAGCCGGCGCTGCTTGGCAGTTCCCTACCCTCGCATCTCTTCCCCATATAGTTAGCCCTCGGCTCTTTTCTACGGGTAAATTTACGGTGAAAACCTCCCCAAACCGCAAACAAAGCTCCCTGCCTCCTTAAAGTTCGTTAGTTGTAGTTCTGTTCTTTACAGGTACTGTTTTTGAAGTGTAGCGGCCGCACTGTTTTATTTATTAGGGTCGATTTGATGCTTTAAAATGTTACAGAATGGAGACTAGTGTGGTGGATCGAGGTGGAATGCCTTCCTTTTTGACTATAGTTAAGCTAACGTTGAAGAAATCATAGTAGTTGAAAATGAGTTGATGTGGTGTTAAAAATTTGTTGTATTTCACAGTGAGATTTTTATAGGACACTTACGATAGAATTATGGTGAGATAACATTTCTATTTGTAGTGCCACGCTGTGGGACCCTCCAATTTAATAATGCATTTCGTGTCCATTCATTCCTGTGCACTTCATCCTAAAGTTTTTTGTCAGCTGAAGAAAATAACTGTAGTATTTGGAATTGGTATTGTATTTTAAAAAATTCAATATCGATGATTTCGAAAATTTATTTCCTAATGTTTGGTTGCTAGAAAATTTGCAACAAGGTTGGACTTTTACCTGGCATCCTGATGGTAAAACTTGGTGGAATTTTGGCTCCATGAGGGCAGGGAGTTTCTGCTCTATCCACTTTTCCCCCCTACCGTAGCAAGTGCCTGCCAAATGTAGTTCTTGAATGAATAAAAACACAAATGACACAACAGTTGTTAAAGGAGTTCAAGCACTTTTTTCTCCCAAGATAAAAACTGAATATTTGTTTGTTTTGTTTTGTACCAGGGATCGAACTCACAACCTCAAGCTTGCCAGGCAGGCGCTTATGCCGCTGAATTAAATCCCCGGCCAAAAACTGGGTTTTTTTAAAGGAATAGTGTTTGTGATTCCGAATAGTACAGGTTTCAGACACATTTTTAAACTACCCTATATTGTTTTTTTAAAAAAATTGTAATCAGTAGTACTTTGAAAAAAGCCAAATTAGAAATGGTATTGAATGCTTGAAGAAGGGAAGTGGTCTTTTTTAAATATGGAAGATTAACATTTTCTCATTGTTCTACACAAAATTTTCCTTTCTACACCTATTCTTTATATAAACTGCAGATTACTTATTAGATGTATTAAGTGTGTACATTATCAGAACCAACTGTCTTGTGCTCAATTGCAACTTTCATCTGATGAAATTAATGACTAAAAATCCATATAGTTTTGTATGTTTGATTTGTGCTTCTCAACTGGTTTTTCTCATTTATAAAATGTTACTGTTTTCTTGTAACCTGTAGTCTCTCAAATGCGATCTGTCTTTAACAAACATCTGAGTACCTGTATAGCTGTGTTCTGAATACTGCAGGGTCTCTGTCATCTAGAAGTCTAATCTAATAGAGGACTTAAGACAGGCAAATAACTTCAATCTATGATTGAACAATTTCCTTTTGGATCTTTCTGTATATTGCATTATGTCCATGGGGAATCAGTGAAGATTTAGAAGGAAATGAAGGTGCCAGCGATATCAGGACTTTAAGAAAAAGGAAATAGTGATCAGAGAGTGAAAGGCCGAGAAAAAAGTGAGTAGTAGTTGATTCTGGAAGCTGTTGAAAAGTAAAAATGACAAAGTACTTTGAGAACTGACAAGTTTCATGTCTCTAATGTATTTGAATTAAATTTTTAGGTTGTGGGTACACATTGAAAATTTTAAGTAGTAAGATAATATAAATTACAAACTACACTTTATTAGTGGTATGTGTTGTTGAAGGCAAAAACTTGGTTGGGAGAGATTAGTGGGTTGGATACTGAAGTAGGAAAAGTAAGTAAAACTTGAACTTGGCAAGTCTTGGCAAGACCAAGGGAAGAATGGGGGCCAGAGGAGTCCGTAGATCTTGGTGTCTGATGGGTGTATGAGCACATTTTTGCCTGCATATGAATGCCAACATAGGCCAGGTGTAGTAGTACACACCTGTAATTCCAGTAATTGGGAGGCTGAGGCAGGAGGATTGCTGCAAATTCAAGGCCAGTTTGGGGCTGCATAGTGAGTTCAAAGCTAGGCTGTTACATGGCGAGACCCTGTCTGTAAAAAACCAAAACCACTGAATATCACAACAGGTGATACCATTACAAGTCAGTGATCAGAAGTATATTTAATGAAGAAAATGTATTTGGTTTGTTGTCCTCTTGAGACAGTCTCATTATACAGTTGAGGCTGGCCTTGACAAGCACACTTTGAAACCCAGGGTGGTCTCAAATTTGCAACAATCCTCCTGCCTCAGCCTCCAGAGTGCTGGCATTACAGGAGTGTGCCACCACACCCAGCTATATATTTGGTTTTTGAGCAGGTGGATTTTTTAGTTACATGTGTAACAGCCACGTGTATATTTTTGGAAGACTCAAACTTGGAAGCAGCCAAGAGACAGAGGAAGATATCTGGGAGTCTCTCTCAGATGGACCCTGGAGAAAGTTGAGGAGAAAAGAAAAAAGCATTAATATAGCATAATAACATGTGTAGCATATTGGGCATTTTATGCATGTCTGATTTAATAGATAAGTATTTCTACTACTTTGTGGAGATATCCAGTTATAGGTGGGAAGCAGATTTGCAAAAGAAGTTAAGAATTCATCCAAGGGGATACGGTTAACTGATGGCAAAACTGGAATTTGAATGTGGATCTTTCTACTTTAATTGTTGCCTGAAGATAATACTTTGTACAATACCAGGGAAGTGATCACAGATTAAAGACTTAAGCAAAAGCACTGAAATTTTCTGAGGATAATAGGATTCAATGCTTAGGGACTGAATGGTAGTGGAAGATAATGAAATGAGAGATAGCAAGCGTAGTGTTTTTAGAGGTTTAATTTTGAGAAATCATATATGGAATAGTTGTTTGACGGGAAGAAAGAACGTTTAACAGTATATCAAGTACTGGTGCTAGGTAGTTTGTAAATTCATATAGTATTTAGTAGAAGGTGATAGCATTAGTGAACGAAGTTGAAACCTGGTTTCTACTAGATGAGAGTGAAGGTGGGCTTTTGAAGGGAAGGGAGTGTAGAAATGCATAGTTCGTAGCAGCAAGAGGCAGTGGTTAACATGAAGCAAAATTGTACCTAAAAGGAAAAGGACAGGTTGGAATTACAGGTAAAAGAATCTATCTGTGATACAGAAAAAATAGAACATTCAATAAGTGACATTAAAGATACTCATTCAACAGAGTATTTGAAGAATGCAGGACTCTGCATTAAGTGTTGTGAAAGATGAAAAAATGAGTGAAAAAGATTAAGATCTGTTAAGGCACCTAATTCTGTTCTGCGTTGTGGCACTCAATGTGAAGCTTGATGGTATTTTGTTAAAAGTTTATGGGATGAATAAAGGATATAGACTAGACTTTTTAACTTATTGATGATATTTTAATCTATAATCTTCTCTAAATCCAAAAGAATATATCTTGTTCTTTCCACTTTTATAGCAGCTACAATTTTCTCAAGGCATTTAATATATAATAGTATAGAGAAAATAAAGCAAAAACTAACAGTTGATGCTATTTTAAGTTTTGAAGTTTTCTTTGATTGTTTTTTGAGACAGAATCTCATTAGTATATAGTCCATGCTGGTCTTGTAATCCTCCTGCCTCAGCTTCCTGCATGCTGGGATTAAAAGAATGTGCCACCACTCCCATTTATTAAGTATTTTTAAAGTCCTTGCTTTTTTTTTTTCTTGTAAATACCAGGGATTGAACTCATGACTGTGTGCTTGCTAGCAGGGGCTTATGTCACTGAGCTAAATCCCCAGCCCCTAAAGTCCTTGCTTTTAATCCCCATTCCTTTTTCCCATCAGACCCAGTCAAATAATTTGGTATTAATATCTGGTTTGTAAACTGTATTCTGAACCTTAGACATGATGTCCGTGAGTAGTTTATTGCACATATTTCCAAATGTGCCTTTTTTACTTAACCATCGTACTATAAAGATTCACAGTTCATTTTCTTGCTAGCAGCATTCAATAAACTTTCTCAAACGTGTCTCTTGAGTGTGCATTCTCTAGGAAAGCTGTCCTCAAACTGCAGCTTTGACCCTTTTCAATTCATAAATTTCAGACCATAGAAACATGTATTTATGGATATTGTCTATTGATATTTACCGTATTATAATTCTGAGATGAGAAATACATTTATAGTGGTGTCACAGTTGACACATACTTTTGATTTGCCAGCAGAAACATTTGCTAAAAATTTTTGTTTGCA